CATATGCTTTACGTACACACTGGTTAGAGTATTGCTTGAGAGCAGAAGCCTCATGTCACAAGGAGTTTTGTGATCTAGAAAGGAACATCTTGGTGCTGGAGATTGTCGTTGGAGGTCAGAGTTAAAAATGTGCTGCTTCACTTCAGCGATGGATTGCCGGTGATGGATAGAAGAAGACAAGTGGGCAGCAGAGACGCAGCGGTTGAAGGATGCTAGCGATTACCCATCAGGTGCCCGCTGTGTGCGAAGCAGAAAATTCCCACCACACACGCAGACAAAGAGTCACATCTTGATGTGTGTCTTTGCCCTCTATCTACTCTGACAGGGTGGTGATGGCTTAGAGCGAATGTCACCTGTCAGTGACAACAGTCGCAATCAAAAACCTCACACACAAACACACGCCTCTTAGAAACAGCAGTGTCTTATGTTTTCATCGTATGTTGTGTTCACATCACCTGGCACGCTCTGTCTAGCCTCCTCAAAAAAATAGTAAAGAGAAAATAAAAATAGAAATGTCTGCAACTTCATACTTGTGTGTGTTTACTTGACAAACAAAGACAGACATACCTTAACACACACACATAAAAACAAGGAATTTCCTGTATGCACAGTGACAGTGATGGCAATTTAAGCATGCATAGACTTAGGCAGACACCGTTATCTTGTTTGTGAATGGAATATAGGACAACAGCGAAAAAGGTCAGTTAGTCAAGAGTTTCAAGTCCAGGTGACAGTCAGTCGTGGGCTTCAAATGCCCAGATACTAATAATTAAAACTGATTGAAAGGGGCTGAAAACTAGGGGAAGAGAGTATATAGTGGCTGGCCAAGCTGAAATTGCTGGTGTTCAGTGGTCATAGCGTTTACAATCCAGAGAAGGGACAGATGCTGTGATGGTGGAGATTGATGTCTGCTAGGCTGTTTTGAAGTGATGGGTGAAGCACAAGTCAGTGCATGCCAAGAGGAGTTTGCTAAGCAGAGGACAAAATCAAGCTTAAGATGTCACCACTTGGCTAAGTAGCTGGATATAAACATGTTTTCTCTGAAAAGGTTTAGCAGGTTTCATTATTGTGTTATAAATACTCTCCAAACAAACTATTTTTACGTACAAATTTACTTACTCATTAAATATTTTCCCTTTATTCAAACAGCCTTTTCAGTTTATTGCATCATTGATTGTTTTTGTATAACAGCAGAACTAAAGGCGCTGCGGTTGCTGTCATCCTTTCTTTCTCTTCATGTTCTGTGTTAGAGTGTCATGGAGTTTGGCAGAGTGTGTTATGCTATCAGTCAGCTGCAGAAGTAATAATTCGTGAATCGAGTATGAACATTTATCAAGTTGTTCACTAAGTTACTAGAGTATGAGCATATGTGTATTTGGGAATTTGTGCATCCACATAGATGAAGTCTGTGTGTGGGTGGACTAGCAAATGAGGATAGAGAAGGATTTTGTTTTCTTTTTCCTTACTGAGGACAAGGAATAATCATTCTATTTTCATTAAACAAGATAATATTTTAAAATTATTCTAAGAAATTATCAATTTGTCTGATTTCTTTACCGTTTTACCAACCCCAGCTGGGCTGGTTAAGAGAAACTTGGACACTGAGATAACCAATCACCCATACACCCTTACCTAGGGCTAATTTAGTATGACAATGATTGTGGGAGAAAGCAGGAGTTTCTAAATGAAAACAGGGAGAACAGCCTACTAGGAGCTTTGAACCATGAGCCTTTGGGTTTTGAGGTGCAGCGCTAACCACTGTACCACCCTACCACCCTTGGCTTTAATCATTACCTTGAGGGTGAAATTTTAAACCTGTACTTGGAGATTGAATTGAACAAACCTTGTAGAGACTTGATCATGACAAATAAAATATTGTTTCGTTTCTGTTTCTTTGCCTTTGGTACCATGGCATGCTTGTGGTTGGAAGCCACACTCCTGAACAGACAATTACAGTGGAATACGCATAACTATGAATGGCATACACAGAAACATTACTAGAAAACACTGAACACTGTAAAATAGATTTTTTTACATTTATTATAAATTTTGTCTGAAGAAAAACAAGCAACTCCTGTCATATCGCTGTAATTATATATACTAAAATATATATATATACATATTTACACTGCACTTCTAAAAACAGTTTTTATTTTTTCCATTCGATGTGAAGAGCAACAAAATGATATGCACACCGACGTCTGCATACATGCAAGTTCTTCCTTTGCTGAGGAATTCTGTGAAGCATTACTGCATCTATCGCATGACGTGATCTTACTGAGTGTCCCCTCAACTCACGAGCATGAACACTTGACGGCGCCCGTTCTATATTGCACCCCACTCATGAATATAGTAATTAACCCCTCTGTGACCTTGTTGCACCTCGATGATGTTGTCATTCTTGTTGAAGGAATAACTTTCTTCTTCTGTAACATAATTAGCTGAAGCCAAAACAAGGGCTTTGCATTGCAGCAGGTTTTCAGAGTTTTTGGAAATGGAGTGTGGCTTATCCTGGAGGTCCTGACACGATTTCCTCTCATAGAATCAGTTCACAGTTTGTTTGTTTGAAACTGCGTTGCCGTTTCACAGCTGTGCCGATGTTGGTTCAGTATTCAGATGGGTGCGTTGTGATTCAGGTGAGCAAGATGTGGAGCATGTAATCTACATGGGGGGCAGGTTAAAGCAGGCGTATTTATAGTTGTTGCCTGTTGCACATTGTCAAAATACCCAGGCTAGTGCAATATTATTCTGCGATATGACTGGCGAAGACAATAGTAGCAACGAATGATGTTGGACAACGACTATGATGAGTGTGTCCTGTGCTTTGGGCGCATTGGTGCAAAATTAGTAGTTAAAAACAAATCCTGCTGAATGCAGTGGCTGCTGCCTACAAAAAATTGCTGTGTACTTGCCTTTTAAAGAGATGCAGTGTGCACACTCCTGCCTGTGCTCCACAATTTCTTGTCTGCCCTGTAGAGTCAATCTACTTGCAATTTTCAAATCATTTTCCACACCTAACGTCTAAACGGCTCCCTCTTCTCTGCTTTCTCTTTGTTTTTTTACAGTGCGGCAAAGGAGCGGAGAACTTTGACAAGTTCTTCACACGCACCCAGCCCCAGCTCACACCGCCAGATGAGCTGGTTATTGCCAACATTGACCAGGCCGAGTTCGCAGGGTTCTCTTTCATCAACCCCCAGTTTGTACACCCGTCGCTCAACAACAGCGAATGAGAAGGATGGGAAAACCTCTGTGAGGAACCTTTCTGCTCATTGCTACCCATTTAAACCAACCACCCACCTAACATCTGACTACCATTCAATCCTAATGTGTTGGTGTTATTCCTAAGCAGGATTCTAGGGCATGCACAATTTGCCAGTATATATTATGGATTGGAGAGGCTGTATTTGTCTACAATTTAAGAAATGTATTTCTCTGCGTATAAATCTCAATGGATTGAAGTTATATTCTACAGAAATAATTGGCAGGTTGTAAATTCTATCTACTTGGATAATCACAGTATGGATATTATGTGATAATCTGAGAAACACTCGTTAGGCAGTGTAGATGCTATAGCCAAATATGAAGGAGAGGCGGTGCAGGCGTTTAAACAGCACCTTGTTGTTCAATGTTTCCTGTATAATGTTTACAGTTTTTCTCTCCTTTGATTTCATGGTGGTGGTGTAAAATGAAATGTTTTTACAAATTGGTTCTAGCCAGTCTCAACTTCCAGTGTGTGTGTAGCAAGCCAACTGAAGGATTAACGGTGAGGTTCTAAAACATATGCAGCCTGTAAACTCATAGGTATCAAAGTGTTGCGTCATTTTGGCAACAAGTTCACTTGGCTTTACTATTATCAGCCACTTTGACCTGATTGTAACAAAAAATAATAGTGTAAGCTCCCAATCCCTTGTCCTTATTAAGCTTCAGCTTGTATACTTTCCTTGTCAATGATTTTGTGGACAGTATGCGGACACACAAGTTTAACAGTGGCAGTCTTGTTAACCTACCTTGAAATCAAACCGTTTACAGTTTGTCATAGTCTAACACTTTTTAGAGTTAATCACCGTTTTGTCCCATGCTACACCCACAGAGCCTCACATTGGTCTTAAATGTTGTAACAGAGACTGTAAAGAAATTTTCAGTTGCTGAACACATGACATTTTGTATCAGTGTGCATTAACCATAAAATGTTTTATTGAATATGGTGTCATCAGCTTAAAAGCTGATAAAACACTGAAGTTCGATGCAGAAATTTGATATCAAATTTGAAATCCTTTCACGTTGCATTGCTGTAATGAGAACAAACTTGTCTTTCATTTGGAGTCTGCATAGCCATTATTAGTTAAATCAGTTTTTGTTTTGGGGGTTTTGTTTTTACTGTTTTTACAGATTTGATCTCACTCTCATACCGTATTTTTCCATTATAGCAGAATAATATTTTAATGTACTTAAAACTGGTGTGTATCTCATCTGTAAATAATTGCAAGTTCTTTAAAAAAAAGAAAAGAAAAGAAAGTATAGCAAGTTACAGTTTTATACCAACACCTGAATGTGCTTTTATTACATCAGTTAGATAAGCCAATATTTGTATGTTAAAAGCCCAGTACAGATCAGCACTGTAACAGTTTCTTTAACAGAGTCCACATTTAGAAAGTTGTGAAACATTTGTTCTACTCTTTGTCTGAATTATATAAAATTCTTCTTTAAAAAAAAAAATTTTTTTTGAGCGATTTTGACTGCAAATTGTGTGTTGATTGGATACACGTCTGGCTGTTGACCGTCCCTTTGCATCTGCATGCTGTTGGTAGACATCATTCATGCACGTGATACATTATGGTAAATGCTGCATGCTAAAAAAGTACAAAACTCCAAAGAATAACAATGTCACAGTAATCAAAATCGTGGTTTACAGTAAGTACAGATCCACCTTAATGTTTTTACTGGTTTCTTAAAGAATGGTGACCGTGATTAGCTTAACTACATGCTGGCTAAAAAAAATCCTACTGATAGCACTTCACTGTTAATGGAACAAGTTGTCAAAATGTTAGTAGTAATGTCTCAAACTGCTCCTGCTTGCTCTGATTCTGTATGTGCTGTTTAATACAAACTGTACTTTTTTCTTTCTTTTTTTTTTTTTACAAAAATGCTCTATTTCCATCCCAATTCGCCTACACAGCTCCAAACAATCCCACATTCAGCTTGTTTGTAGGTCTTGCCTTGTGAGTGTTAAACAGTCAAAAGATTAGATAGTAAAAACAACTCCTTTCTCCTCTCTTACACCTTTTCCTTTACCTCAATCGAAAATGTCATAAAGTCAGGAAAAAAGGTTAAGGATAATCTGTAGGGACTTAGAGAAACAACAGTGGTGCTAGGAGAATGTTATCTCCACTAGCAGTTCATCTTAGAGAGACCACATCTGAAGTATATAGGCTGTATAAATGTGGATAAACCAGTAAAAGGTGTTACTTCATTACCAAGGTTGGATTTGTTCAATCCTACGAGTTTAACATATTGTTGAAATTTCAAAACACGTAATTGTATTAGGAGGTTTATGGACAACACAGCAATGATTTACAAGTGGTCTGCATCCCTTAGCAGCAATGTTGATTGTTAGCTTTCGAGATTTCTTTAGTAAAGGATTCTCTAGTATATTATATGCCAAAGTAGATAAGAAAGGTTTAAATAACCGGTCAAAAGATAATTTCACCAAAAACCAGATTTAAGGTGGGCCGTTACACATCCCTGCCAATTATTATCGCTGCTTAACTGAGAAAACTAGTCAGCTGTCTCAGTCATTCAGTGCAGATAGATTGGTGATTGTGAAAACAAGCATCAAGAACAACAGTGATTTGCCAAAAGAATGCAGATCACAGGATTTGAATGCTATCGAATAGACATTTATTATAACATAAATGTAAATACATCTAGTAATAGCAGATAGACTTAAATTGCTTTTTAAATTCTTTCATGAGACCTAGTCGCTGTCACAGAGCTTAGATCAGTGCTGTCTTCTGTAGAAGCTTGATATACTGCATATATATTGTATAGATATATATATGCACGCGTATACACTTTATGTCCTCATGCTCCTTTTGCCTTTACCTAAGAGAATTTGGAACACAGAGTCCAGATCTTTGGTGAGTTTTGGCTTAGACACTCTGATAATTGGTAGATCAGTGGGACCACACGCTCTCTAGTGTCTCATGAATGTTTATTATAATCTTAATGTTGTGTTGTTGTTGCTTTTTTTTCCTTTTTGGTTTTTTTTTGGGGGTTTTTTTGCTCTCATTTTTTTTGTTGTCAGTTTTATTTCTCTAGCATCTGCACAATTCAGGAATGTTTCACAGGATATATCTCAATATCATACTGCAAAGCTTATATCTAACTGACATAGATAGGATAGATATTGTTTGAATGTAACTGAACTTAATATTTTGTCAGTATTTTTGTCCAATCTCTCCTAGTTTGTTTCCCATCTGATGCATTTGCATGTGCCAAAACTGGAAAACACCGGAATTTGAAAATTGCAGCGTCGCACTAGCTGCGGTCACCAAAACAACTTTGTGTGGCAGCTTCTAAAGGCATACGCTGCTGTACAGTCAGTTGGCCACATTACAGTAGCATGCTAACACGAGTATACCAGTGCACATTGTGTCAGTACACTTAACAATGCCAGTCGGTTTGATAATCAACTTATCCTGCACGTTGTTCCCTTTGGGCAGAACATTTCATTTGGTAAAGCGTTTGATAGTCACAGTGAATTTCAGAGAAATGAGAGAAAATATTCCTTGTACATACTCAGAGTTTGCTCAGCAGCAGTCTTGCCCTTGTCTAAACCTAACTTGCACCTCTGTATGTGACAAGTGCTGACTTAATAGCCTAGCTTCATCCCTTTAATAGAATCTCTGTTGACTTGCTGTGTTTTCAAAATGTCAAGTCACAGTCGGTGTGGGCATAAAGATTATTCCTCCCTTGTGTGCCTTTCCCAGCTTGTACACCTATACTGTACATATTCTTTTTACTCTTTGTCTACTGTGCTCTAACCTGAAGTCTCTTTTCCATTTTTACTTCATATCACAACTCAGCGTCTCAGATCTTAATGTTAAATGTGTTTTCAAACTAGGTAATTAATAAAAATAATAATAATAATTCACACGAATGTAATTTTAAAGGGTTTTTTGTCACTGTCACAACAACCTCTAACTGTCTAAAGATTTTAAACTGGATTCATTCTTGCGTGTCTCCTACCTTTACCTCCCTGTGCCTATTTATGACTGTACAACATGGCGAATTAATTAAATATTCTGTATCAAAAATATCAAAAGATTACGCTTGTTGATGGATGAGTGAAGAAAGAATGAACAGGTGATTAATTGGGTTAAGCCGAAATGGATGACAGGAGAAATGATAATTGCTCGTTTTGAAGAACAACCCCTGTGCCTCATCATATTGAACCGTCCCTCCTTTGTCCTCTCTTTGAATCAATCTGTAGTTCCTTCCTCAGTGCCTGGGGCATGTAAATCCATTCCTCATTGATAGTGTCCCCCACCTTTTAAATCCTAGGGTAGTGGTTATTGTATCACTTTGTGAGTCTGCACGTGTCATCAAGACTAAATGTGGTCCTGGGGACACCTACTGTAGTGGGAACTACCACAAAAGCAGGTGAACACAGTAACATCACAACTTTACAGGCGTGTAGTTGGGATCAAACGCAGTTGTGGTCTAAACCATAAGTTCCCAAAAAAAGATTAGAAGTAGGGGGGCAAGAGGCCCAGTGGCCCCGTCTGTTATCACGCCCCTATCAAACAGTCTTTTGTATTGTATATGTATTTGTAAATCACCATATGAAGCATCGTATTTGGTGTAAAAACTCAATACTTTCCTCTATGGGACTAGTCCTACAACTCCTTGGTGCTGCAGCTGGTTTGATCCCATCACAAGTTGGTCTCTAGTTTCTAGTTCACGCAATTCACTCAACAGAGACGACATCAGCCCAAGACTTTTCAGTTCTCTCTGGGTTTGACTAATGCACCACAGGAAAGAAATTAGCCAAAAGTATTTGTTCTTTTACATTTTTTACATGTCCTCAACTTTTTTAATTTAGTTAGGGTTAGGTTTAAAGATATGGTCATACAGCTGTTTCAAGATTTTATTTTAATTTATAGATTTTAATTAGTACTTCTGTCAGTCCTTTTCTGTGGATGAATCTGGTATGACGTCTTCTTTGTAGTTAGTCATCACTCTGCTGTTTCCTGCTCGATTTGAATTAAGAGAGTTTTAAGTAAACTATCCTCTTGGCCAATCAGAGCATAAGATCAGTGATGTGCAAGAATGCCTTATATCTTAGTCCACAGTGTAACCAGTTCTCCCACTTTCCTCTGTTCAGTTATAATCTCTGCACCCCTGTCCTGTACATAAATGACTTAAATTAGATATCTACATAGACTGTAAAAGAAAGAACATATTGTATTTTGCAAATGGTGTATGTTTGTTAGTTTTTTTTCCCTTGTCAGCCTGAAACCTTTAAAATGAGTCTGAGCTACTTACCTTGTAATTGATTGTGTCATTTGTACCTAATGTATGATAATGCAAATAAAAAAAGCAAAATGAGGTCCATACTTACACAAGTGAATGTTTTTGTTACTGGCTTCTTTCAAACTTTGCATGAACTGTGTGTTATTTCAAAATGCAATGTATTGTTGAGGTTTAGTTTATGTTTCTCCTGAGATGGAACACAAGCATGTTAGTCTATTTTGAGCAATGTGTCATTGGTGTCACATGATGTGTCTCTCACACACACACGCGCGCACACATAAAATTGATACTGACCAATTTAGACAAAGTTTGAACTGAGTGTTGTTGGTGAGTCTGTGGCTTAATTTAATTTTTATATTTCCATCTTCTTTGTGTGTGTGTGTGTGTGTGTATGTGTGTATGTGTATATATATATATATATATATATATAAATAAATAAAATCAATCAGTCCAACATCTAATGTGCTGCAATACATATTTCTGAATTTTTACCTGCATTCATCCATTTAGCTTGAAATGTATTAGGATGATTATATTCTGCACAGATGGAGGACATGTGACTTTATTGAGCTGAAGTCCGGATGAAGGAAGAGGGTTGTTATTGATGGAAGACATAGTGTGGTAGTCACTGCTGTCACGAGTAATCAGTGTTGACTTAGACTGAAGAGCATTACAGATGTGCCACAGCTGAGGGACACCGCACGATCTTTAGATGTAGTGCAGATTAGGTTTTTGGTGCACCTGGGGCTTTACTTTTCTACCAGAAAGGGATTAATGTAGAGCCCATTAGCATGTTTGAGGACTACGCTGACATTTCAGAAGCATAGCATGATTGCCACCTAATCAAATACCTGTCAGAATATCAGATTTTTGTTTTCATGAAACACACCAGCATCCATAGTGCTTACTGTTATAGATTGTGATGTCATATTTGTTGTTTCTCACACACTAGCATATTTTCTCTTTGACATGACAGTATAAGCTTGACATGCCTCTTTAGTGTAGTCTAAACAAAATGTAACATTCGACATGTACCTTGTGCCAATTTAAAGAAAGCAGCAAAACAAAAGAGAGTAACCATCTCAGTGTTCATTGTGAGCTAATCTTCTTAATCTTAGAAAGAAACAAAGACAAGTGAAAACAGGTTGCAAGCATTTCTTACTGCTGCCTCCATTATAGTATTGATCCCTGAACAGTTTTCCACTAATTTCTTTCAACCTTGACCAAGACAGAGGACAATCCTTTATCTTGTTAATCGCAAAACTTGAGCTCATATTATTCTCAACCCACTTGATAGCTTTCATCTATCTTACTGAAATTTTCTTAAATGAGAGCCCATAATTACTATAGCTCGTTGCTGGCAGGCAGCCAATGTCCTAAGTGGTGGCTTAGAGTAATAAGAAGAGGCCAGGATTTTACAACAAACTGAGCCTGGTTTTATTCAGTTTTCAATCCTTGCTCTACAGCTCTTGAATCTCATTGTTGAGCCCGTCACACTGCAAATCTGACCTAAATATGACAACGTGAGTCTGAAAGGGAATCATTTCATTTTGTTTTCTTTAATATGACTTAAAGTATATTAAATGAATCCAAATTGTATTTATTTATTCTGCCCTGGGTTGTAATAGAGAAAAGGACGATATTGTTTGGGTATACAGGGTTTTGAGACAATGCTTAGCTGCCATCTGATCGTCCTGCAGTATGTTTAGTGTTGGACCCAGCTGGTGTGTGAACTTTTGTTATGTTTCAGTCTATTGGTTTCTCTCATTCTCTATTTTATACACACACACACACACACACACACACACACACACACACATCAGAATAACTTAAGCTGTTGTGAAAGTTCTAGAGGTACTGTAAATGATATACTGTTATAGTTTTTATGAGAATTGCTCTAGCCGTAGAGCAGATACATTACTATTACTGCCTGATACACATTTGTATCTTTGTGATTAATGACTAAGAAAGAGTGCATTACTGAAGCTGACTGATTTATGTTTGCTTTACATACATAAAAAATGAAGAATGAATAAAAAAGGATGATGCTGAGCATTTCTGAATTTAGATTCTGTTTGAAAGCAGAAAAAAAAAA